TTACTACCTTTGAAAGTAAAATTTTATCAACAGGGCATTTAAGGCATAGTATGAGATTTAAAAATCTTGTAATATGAAAATTTTACAAGTGTTAAATATGTGCCATAGTTTTTGAAATAAGCATATTTTTTTATTCATAATTCAGAATTACCTTTAAATTAAATTAAAGTACTTCTCTTTTATAGTGTAAGATCACCACAATGGTTGCGAGGAAAATGGTGGTCTCTTAAACGTAATTATCGCCATTACCAGTCAATGCCATTTCAAGGTAATTTGGTGCACAATATACAGTCATGTATTATTTTTTACAGGAGCAAATTTAAATTTTTTGCAATTGTTTACATGTATTCAGTTTAGGCAACTCTTAGAAAATATTTTAAAAGTCAATATATTTTTAGTTCTTCTGAGCCAAAGGCTCAAAGAGCTAATGCTATGGCCATTTGTGCAGTGTGCGTCGTGCGGTGTGCGTTAACTTTTTAGAATATGGGCCATAACTCAAGAACCCCTTGGCCAATCAGTGTCAAATTTGTCACAGGGTATCCTTGGCCCAAGGGCTATCATTTATACTAAAATAAGGGTTGGGACCCTAAAACAAGGGGAGATAATCAGGAAAACAAAACCAAAAGTACTGGTTGCTAAAAAATCTTCTTCTCCAGAACCACCAGGCAGATTTTCACCAAACTTACACACAAGGATCAGGATATGTTGAAGATTAAAAATTGTTCGAGGCATGACCCTGGGGCAAAGGGCGTGGTCTCAAGGTCACTTTAAAGTTGACCTAAATTTACCGTTAATAAAAATGTTTACATTTTGCTTACTATAAGGACTAGGATCATCAAATCTTGTAAGATGATGCATCTTAGGACTTCAGATCATGTTAACTCAAAAGTAGGTCACGGTGACCTACTTTTTTAATTTTGCGGGCATTTGTTTTCAAATTGATTTTAAGGCATATTTTGGACGCGTTTAGGCCTATGGTCATCAAACTTAGTCAGTTGATGCATCTTGGGTCTTTGAACAACGTCAACTTAAAAGTAGGTCACTGTGACCTACTTTTTGAACTTTATGACTTATCCTTTATAAAACATTTAATCCCATTATTTCAGGCACTGAAAGGGTTAGAATCATTAAATCTTGTAAGTTGCTGCATCTTGGGACCTTAAAACATATTTAAGAAAAAGTAGGTCACTGTGACCTACTTTTTGAATTTGGCAGGCAATTGTTTTCAAATTGTTTAAAAGATATATTTTGATTACCTTCAGACCTACGATCATCAAACTTGGTCAGGAGATGCATCTTGGGACTCTGAAAAATGTCGACCAAAATGTACCTACTTTTGACATTTTATGGCTAGATTTAAGTATCTTAGGTATTTATTGGCTTAGAATCATCAAACTTTGTGAGTTTATGCATTTTGGGTTTTCGAAGAGTGACGACCAAAAATTAGGTCACGGTGACCTACTTTCGACATTTTATGGCTATATCATCAAATCTTGTAAGATGATGCATCTTAGGACTTCAGATCATGTTAACTCAAAAGTAGGTCACGGTGACCTACTTTTTTAATTTTGCGGGCATTTGTTTTCAAATTGATTTTAAGGCATATTTTGGACGCGTTTAGGCCTATGGTCATCAAACTTAGTCAGTTGATGCATCTTGGGTCTTTGAACAACGTCAACTTAAAAGTAGGTCACTGTGACCTACTTTTTGAACTTTATGACTTATCCTTTATAAAACATTTAATCCCATTATTTCAGGCACTGAAAGGGTTAGAATCATTAAATCTTGTAAGTTGCTGCATCTTGGGACCTTAAAACATATTTAAGAAAAAGTAGGTCACTGTGACCTACTTTTTGAATTTGGCAGGCAATTGTTTTCAAATTGTTTAAAAGATATATTTTGATTACCTTCAGACCTACGATCATCAAACTTGGTCAGGAGATGCATCTTGGGACTCTGAAAAATGTCGACCAAAATGTACCTACTTTTGACATTTTATGGCTAGATTTAAGTATCTTAGGTATTTATTGGCTTAGAATCATCAAACTTTGTGAGTTTATGCATTTTGGGTTTTCGAAGAGTGACGACCAAAAATTAGGTCACGGTGACCTACTTTCGACATTTTATGGCTATATCATCAAATCTTGTAAGATGATGCATCTTAGGACTTCAGATCATGTTAACTCAAAAGTAGGTCACGGTGACCTACTTTTTAATTTTGCGGGCATTTGTTTTCAAATTGATTTTAAGGCATATTTTGGACGCGTTTAGGCCTATGGTCATCAAACTTAGTCAGTTGATGCATCTTGGGTCTTTGAACAACGTCAACTTAAAAGTAGGTCACTGTGACCTACTTTTTGAACTTTATGACTTATCCTTTATAAAACATTTAATCCCATTATTTCAGGCACTGAAAGGGTTAGAATCATTAAATCTTGTAAGTTGCTGCATCTTGGGACCTTAAAACATATTTAAGAAAAAGTAGGTCACTGTGACCTACTTTTTGAATTTGGCAGGCAATTGTTTTCAAATTGTTTAAAAGATATATTTTGATTACCTTCAGACCTACGATCATCAAACTTGGTCAGGAGATGCATCTTGGGACTCTGAAAAATGTCGACCAAAATGTACCTACTTTTGACATTTTATGGCTAGATTTAAGTATCTTAGGTATTTATTGGCTTAGAATCATCAAACTTTGTGAGTTTATGCATTTTGGGTTTTCGAAGAGTGACGACCAAAAATTAGGTCACGGTGACCTACTTTCGACATTTTATGGCTATATTTCAGTATCTTAGGTATTTATTGGCTTAGAATCATCAAACTTTGTGAGTTGATGGATTTTAGGTTTTCGGAGAGTGTCCACCAAAAATTAGGTCACGGTGACCTACTTTTGACATTTTTTGGCTATATTTAAGTATTTCCGGTACTTATTGGTTTAGAATCATCATACTTTGTTAGTTGATGCATCTTCGGTTTTCCAAGAATGTCAACAAAAAAGTAGGTCATGGTGACCTACTTTTGAATATCTCAGGTATTTATTGGCATAGAATTATCAAACTTGGTCAGCAGATGCATCTTGGGACTCTAAAAAATGTCAACCAAAATGTAGGTCACGATGACCTACTTTTGACATTTCGCGGCTATATTTAAGTATCTCCAGTACTTATTGGCTTAGAATCATCAAACTTTGTGAGTTGATGGATTTTAGGTTTTCGGAGAGTGTCCACCAAGAATTAGGTCACGGTGACCTACTTTTGACATTTTTTGGCTATATTTAAGTATCTCCGGTACTTATTGGTTTAGAATCATCATACTTTGTCAATTAATGCATCTTGGGTTTTCCGAGAATGTCGACCAAAAAGTAGGTCACAGTGACCTACTTTTGAATATCTCAGGTATTTATTGGCTTAGAATTATCAAACTTAGTCAGCAGATGCATCTTGGGACTCTGAAAAATGTTGACTAAAATGTAGGTCACGATGACCTACTTTCGACATTTTATGGCTATATTTAATTATCTTAGGTATTTATTGGCTTAGAATAATCAAACTTTGTCAGGTGATGCAACTTTGGTCTTAGGATACTTAGGGTTAGAGGCTTCAAATACAAGTGATAGGTTGTACAATTTATCAGAAGAGCGATTCAAGGCCCTTGGGCCTCTTGTTAGTGTCCTCAATTCAAATTTAATTTACTAAATGCCATGGATGAGAAAGATATGACATTTTGTTAATTTTTGATTTTTTTTCCTGCCAGAATTACTTGAACACCTGAAGACCAACCATGTTGGAAATGTTCGAGTGAAAAACCAGATGAAAGTCTCTGCAGAAATGGTAGCCATGCCAGTAACTCTTCAAACAGGTAAAATTTCTTTTGAGATTGATCAGTTTCAAATGTGACTTACTGATATCATAGGATAATGCAGAGCTCTGGGGTAGAAATAATACCGAAGATTTGAAAAAGGAAATTGACTATGAAAGTTTAGAGTGTAATCTAATTGCTGTATTTGCTTTTATTGCTGTCTTATGTAATATGACATTGATAATTCTGAGAGTCCTGAAAATGATTAAACTTCTACAGCTGATACAGTGACCCTGTCTAATCTGACATGCACTGGGTGCACTTGAGTTTACAGTGAAATGGATTACAGAGGTGTTGTACTAGACAACTTTCACTGTATTTGTAGTCAAGTGCTCTATTCTGATTTACAGGTGCTGATGGTAGCTCCACCAGTGAAGCTCTACAGACATATGAAATTCTCCATCAAACCAGCTCTGGGGCTTTCCTGATCACCCAGCCCAACACTAACCCCGCCATTACCATTAATGGTTCTCCAGTCACTTCAGATCACATTATTGTACACACCTTGCCAGTAAGTATGTTGGAGTATTGAGGTAGTGATTGATTGTATTGATTTTAGAAACCTTTATAATAATTTATTTTTAGCATTGGTCACTTGTCCATAATAAATTTCTCTTTGTAAATTCCTTAAATAATAAAAATGATGATACATGTGTGTGGAAAGGATTTCTTTTTAGCTCACCTGAGCCGAAGGCTCAAGTGAGCTTTTCTGGTCACATTTTGTCCGTCGTCCGTCCGTCTGTCTGTGTGTCTGTCTGTCTGTCTGTCTGTAAACTTTTCACATTTTCGACTTCTTCTCAAGAACCACTGGGCCAATTTTGACCAAACTTGGTACAAAGCATCCTTGGGTGAAGGGGAATTTAAATTCTTGAAATAAAGGGCCAAGTCCCCTGACAAGGGGAGATAATCAAGAAACGACAAAAATAAGGTGGGGTCATTAAAAAATCTTCTTCCCAAGAACCACTGGGCCAGAAAAGCTGAAACTTATGTGGAAGCATCCTGGGGTAGGATAGATCTAAATTGTTAAAATCATGACCCCCGGGGATAAGGCGGGACCACAATGGAGAATCAATGTTTTACTTAGAAATATATAGCAAAAATCTTTAAAAATCTTCTTCTCAAAAACCACTGGACCAGAAAAGCTGAAACTTATGTAGAAGCATCCTGAGGTAGTGTAGATTCTAAATTGTTAAAATCATGACCCCCGGGGATAAGGCGGGACCACAATGGAGAATCAACGTTTTACATAGAAATATATAGCAAAAATCTTTAAAAATCTTCTTCTCAAAAACCAATGGGCCAGAAAAGCTGAAACTTATGTAGAAGCATCCTGGGGTAGTGTAGATTCTAAATTGTTAATGTCATGACCCCCGGGGGTAGGGCGGGGCCACAATGGAGAATCAAAATTTTTCATAGAAATATATAGGAAAAATCTTTAAAAATCTTCTTCTCAAAACCTCTGGGCCAGAAAAGCTGAAACGTATGTGGAAGCATCCTGGGGTAGTGTAGATTCTAAATTGTTAATGTCATGACCCCCGGGGTAGGGCAGGGCCACAATGGGGAATCAAAGTTTTACATAGAAATATATGAGAAAAATCTTCTTCTCAAGAACCACTGGGCCAGAAAAGCTGAAATTTATGTGGAAGCATCCTGGGGTAGTGTAGATTCTAAATTGTTAAAATCATGACCCCTGGGGGGTGGGTGGGGCCACAATGGGGAATCAAAGTTTTACATAGAAATATATAGGAAAAATCTTTAAAAATCTTCTTCTCAAGAACCACTGGGACAGAAAATCTGAAACTTATGTGGAAGCATTCTGGGGTAGTGAAAATTCTAAATTGTTAGAATCATGACCCTCGGGGTTGGGCGGGGCCACAATGGGGAATCAAAGTTTTACAATGTTGAATCAAAGCATCCTATGGTAGTGTAGATTTCAAATTGTTTAAATTATGATCAGTTGGGTAGGGTGGGGTCACAATATGTATTACAAGGGGAAATCTTGTAAAGAACAGAATGGTCAAAGCTTCTCAGGTGAGCGATGTGGCCCATGGGCCTCTTGTTTAAGAGCTTAGGATTTCTTTTTTAAGAGCTTAGCACTATTAACCTGATCTTTTGTAGAACTCGACAGCTTTACAGGGGCAGGAGAATCTGGCAGTACAGATGAACCCAGTCATACTCAACTCAGCCTCAGACAGTCTCAGTCTGGACTCGACAGAAATCTCACTACAGAGTTCTACCACCGGTACTGACCAGGGTGAGTTTTTACTGCTGTGTTTGGAATTAAAAAAATTTTCAATTGATCTTGGTTTAAAGTCTTGACTTTGTAGCTCCAATAACAGTACTTAGCAAAGTAGCATGTTTATAGACAGGTCAAGGCAAATAATTTTCTGTGACATTAGAATAAATTAATATGTTAAATGAGGAGCCAATGTGACTGACAAGTAGACCAGTCAGCTTAATGAGTTGCATTTTGGGTTACTACAAAAATACTACATGTGTGTTTGAAAAGGCCAATTTTTAAAAAATATAAACTATTTCAATCTGTTAATTTTTTGTTATTGTCATTTTTTTCTCTCTAGATATAACAGAACAGATGATAACATCCACCCCGGAGATGGACACACAGACAGAAATTTCCTCCACACCATTTGAACATGAGGTAACAACTTATAAAAAGAGGATTGTAAATTGCAGCTTAAAATTTGACCATTAAAACTAAAACTTAGGAGAAGACTACTTTTGATATATGGAAGCAAAAGACTCCATTTTACATGTGTAGTGAAACATGTCTAATCCAAATGTTGTGTATTCTGAAATTTTGGTAATTATATATATCTTGGCATATATATGATGTACTCCTACAAGTAAGAGCCTCGGTTAATATCCCTTCCTTATGTGGCGCCAAGTCAAAAGTATCTCACTGTGAACCTCTAGCATGCTGTAGTAATTATGTATGATGTAAACCTTAAGGCCCTCAATATTAAAATTCATTTGTTTAAAATGTTGTTTAATCGTCCCATTTCTTCAGACATAGTGATGTCCAAATTAGATATGTTTTACTGTAATATATGCTTATTTTTCTGATAACAGACCATTGCCTCCTCTGTGATTGACGGGGACCAGGAGAACAGTCAGTCCCAGATTGTGATTTCCTCAGAGAATGACCACGGGAACTACAAATTAGTGATGGTCACAACAGGGAATGATAATAGTACAGAGTACATGTTCTCACAGTCAGGTAATTCTGATAGCATTCAAAGCAGCTTAGTTAGGGAGACTTGTTAGCTTTTGCAAAATTTAGTCTCCTTGGACTGAAGAGTTACCAAGCTTCAACAATTGTAACACGTTTGTTATATTTTTGAAGTAAGTCATTGTGATATGTGCTGCACAGGTTATATGGTATAAATTACTTTTTATGCTATCAAATGATGTGTTACATTTATGAAAAAAAAAATTAATCAAAAAGTGGCACTTTATCAATCAGACAATATAAAACTTGTTTTATTATTTTAAACTGTGTTTTGAAAGCGTTAGTATGTTAGATTAGGCCTGTTAAGATTTAAGAATGGTGTTGCCAGCTATTTTTTACACACATAAATCTACTAATTTAGCATTTGCCTGACTATATTTTACAGATCCTATGCTAACCTCAGGGGAGACTGACCTGATTGTAAACCCCTCAGACGTGGATTCTGACAAAGTTCAAGGCCAAGTCAGCCTGGATATTTCTAGTCCCGACATCACAGCCACCTCTTCGTAAATGCAGCAGATTTTTAAATCAATCTTCATAATCTTAAAATTGTCGGTTATCTCTTCAAGAACTTTTCCCTTTTTTTGCTAATTGTTATATATAAGGGATGCATCATTTTACTTTATAAAAAGTATTATTATTTTGAGCACAAAGTTGAGAAATGTTATCACACAAAAGTTGTTTATTATTTGATTCACATACAAGGGATGAATAACTTTTTTCTGATTACTGTTAAATCACAAATTTTCGTGGGGGGTTAATTTTCGTTGTTTTCGAGGTATGACGTGACCCACAAATTCATGTTCACCACGAAATGTAAAATGTTACATACATAAGTAGTCATTAATTCTTGATCCACAAAATCAAATCCCCACAAACCAAGAGATTTTACTCAAACCACGAAAATTTGACCCCACGAAAATATGTGATTTTACAGTATATAGTTGAATTTCTGTAATTCAAATACCATGGATATGTCTTCCCACCCCAGTTTTTTACGCCTGATATCTCGAATCTTTGGATATCTCAGAGTTTTTTATTTAATCCCATCTAGTTTGAGATAATGAGATTTTACTATATAAAGAAATTATACTATTAGTTTAACATTACTTTTTCATTTCATTTTGGACAAATTCTTTTTTTTAAAGAAATTTTATTTAAAGTTTAATTTCCAAATAAATAACTAAAGATTTGTTAGTATGTCTTAATACTTTTGTCAGGACAAGTTTTGCCAATTTTTTTTTTTACATGTTAATAGACCTTATGATATTATCCATTCTAGGCCATTTTAAAAGAAGTATTTCATTGAAAACTTCACAGTCAAAATATTATGGAACCTTAAAATTTTCTGAGACCAAACAATTCAGATAAACTTTGCATGATTTCCCACAAACTCTTACAAGGGGGATAACTTCTGATCAATAAATATCTATTTGGAATAAATATTGATATATTTCCATTTCTATTTTTTTCTCTGTGATAACTCTTTGAAAGTTAGTGGAGTTTATTTCTTGATAATTCTACCGAAATGTAAATTAGGCAAATCGATAGGTCAGGGGCTAAGGACGCCATATATGCATGTGAATCTCGCGCTTGTCTGTCTTTGTGCCTGATGCTAAGGAGGCCAAATATGCATGAAAATCTCATGCAGCTGTCTTTGTGTTTGACATCAGTGGGCGAGGACTATCGAAATTGACAATCTAAATCTACAATTTTATTTCACAATGAAATGGAAATATAAGGAATCACTGTCTAGTTAGGAGACTATGCCAGGGACATCAACAATAGTGGGAAACATGGGATAATTTATGCGTTATGCAATTATTCCATGTTTCCTACTATTGTTGATGCCCTGGCATACTATACTAACTAGACAGTGATTCCTTAAGTATTGTACGGTTTAATTAAAGGTCTGCTAAGTTTGAGCAGGCTTTTGAAAACTACCTATCTTTTGAAAAATTGTTCAGATTTCTTACTCTGTACCACAGCTTTAAGTTTGCAGTTCTTATAATTCCAAAGATAGCACTCAAAGTATAATTATTTGAACATTTCATTTGTCAAGTTTCTTACAGGTCAATACTTTTTTTGTGAATTCATGATCATCCTATTTCTTTGTATCTGTTCCCTGTTTAATATTACATGTATCCTGTTATTGTTTTTGAATATTTCCTTTCTATATAAGATATTAAAAATATCTGATTGATGCTTTTTTTTTTTATTTTATGTGTTAGATATTTGTAGATTCTACCAAACACTTGTTGACTAAAATTTTCTTTTCATATAAAGTAATATGCAGTTTGGAAAAAAATAATAAAAAAGGTCTCCAAAACCTATATGAATTACTGTACACAGGGTTATTTTCGCCCCGTGTTATCTTTGCCCTTTCACACTTGCAGATAATTATCCCATTTTAAATTTGCCCATCCATAGTTTTCTTTTTAAAAAAATATACTGTATTCCTTGAATTCGCCCCTTTTTAAATAAGCCAAAATGATGGTAAGGCGAAAGGGGCAAAAATAAAACGGGGGCAAAAATTTCCCTCTATACAGATTTGTCAGTTATGTATATAGCCTTTGATCTATTAATCACATTTTGGTAAGTTGTTGATTAAGCTGAGTTTAATTTTTGTTTTAAAAAAATATTGAAAAATACGTTTGGAAAATCGCTGTAATTTATTTTAAAAGATTACCATGCGTTTCTTTTTTCTTTGGGTAACAGTATAGATTTTTTAGACTAAACCAGTGTGTGCTTCTAATGAACTATCAGATAGAAGATAAGCTACATTAAAAAAAAAGAAAACAGATTTATCCTGATAACCATTGAATCATTTACAAACTTCATATACATGTTTATACATTAAACGCATAATTATACAATGACTTAACTTCTTAAATTATTACATTTCTCTAAATACCAATATTTTGAGCATGTGAACTGAAAAAAGTACATGCATTAAAATGTCTTTAATGTCTAATACAAAACACAAAGTCATGGGTTTTACGGCTCGTAGGAGACACCCCTTTTTGTCTTTTAATCAAGTTAATATATGTTTCATCTATAATGTTTCCCAGTGGTTCTTGAGAATATTTTAAAAATGATTTCCAATGTAGTTTGACTCGACACCTTACCCTTTGGGGTTCATGTTTTGAGTAAACTTGAATACCCAGTTAAACAAAGGGATCTCGAACACGAGTACCTCAAATACCATGGGTATATTAAGATGAGAAATAAGTCTAAAGCGATTTTTGGAAATGAATTTTAATCTCGATATCCTGAACACTCGAATATCTCTTAAGTATTTTCTCTTGGACGCAATGAGTTTGAGATAACAATGTTTGACATGAAACTTATAATTCATCTTTTCAGGCCAAGTAATTGTTTGAGAAAAATATTTAAAAATGTGTTCCTATATATTTCCGAGTTAGAATTTGAACTCTTATTGTTGGTTCATCCTAACTATGGACCAGAATTTGAACAATTGTAAATGAACACAAAAGGTAGGTGTCAAAAAATTCATTTTTTTTCTTGCCCAGTTATTCTTGAATATAAGAGGTTTAATTGATCCTATCAAATAAACATTTTAATTAATTATCTCCCCTTAAAAGAGGCATTTTTAAAAAAGATAAATCTCCCCTTAAAAGACAGTTTGGCCTTTATTCGAACATGCTTTCAGAATCGGCTTTACCCAAGGATGCATTAGGTGAAGTTTAGTTGAAAAAGGGCCATTAGTTCTGTATAAGACGTTAAGAATGTGATAAGTTTACAAGCAGACAGATAGATAAACGCTTGATACCTTTTGATTAGAAAAGGTCTCTTGATGATAAGTTCTCTACTTGGATGAAATAAAAACAACATAATTCATTTCTTTAATGATTTAATTTTGTTTACACTGCAGTTTCTGATTGGATTAAAAAATACTTTATATTGTATAAATCAATGTAAATTGGGTTGCCTACGTACGTCACAAAGACTTACATAAAAAATGTATGGATCTGCCTGACGTTACATTTGTACACTTTGTCATAATTTTTAAGGGATAGATTTAGACTTTATTAGGTATTTTTTTAAATGTATTTTTTTAAATAAACCTCTTCGAGGTTTATAAATCGTTAACCGCCTCTACCCGACTTTATATATACATGTAAATTGGGTAGCTAATAAATTCATTCCTTAATTAAAAATTACTTACAGATTGTTATTATACAGGTACACTGTAAGGCCAGGACTATTTCATGAGGTGCAGCCAAAGTAAACAGTCCTTGTTAAAGGGAACTGGAAACTTGCTAACAGTAACTCCATCAATTATATAC